TTGTAAGGTAGTACAGAAAGGCAATACCAAACACATAACTTCTACTACTTACTTTATGCTCGACTCTGGGGCTTCAGCTCAATATTTCATTGATTCCGATTATGCGCAAAATTGTGGTTTTGAATTCGTCCCACTCGCTCGGCCTCGTCGTCTCCGCATCGCGGACGGGAGACCTTCTTCAGCAGGTGATGTTACTCATATAGTTATCTTGGACATGATTGTCGGGAAGCATGTAGAACGTCAACAACGCTTCCATGTTACTAAACTCGCCTCCCACAACATCATCATAGGACACCCGTGGCTCGCTCTCCACAACCCTCAAATTGACTGGACGAACCACAGTATCGTTTTTGGCTCTACGTACTGTAGAGGACACTGTATGCCTAGGAGGTTGGATTCGGTTCAAGTGAAATGCACTCGTCACGACGTTTCACATATCCCTAAGCCCCTGAAAGTCAGCGCTGCCTCCTTCAACCGGCTGGCATCTACTCACGGCGTTGAAGTGTTCTCTCTATCTGTTTTTGAAATAGACAAAAGGTTAGAGGAGTTAGGCGCGAGCCCTTCTACTCCCGACACCTTGTACAGCATTCGGATGGACGATGGCCTCTCGGGCCAGAAGCGCATGGAAAAGGAGTTACTGATTCAGGACGACTTCCAGCACAAAACCACCGATTCTCGCCAAATGGCTGCTGAACTCTACCTCTGCGGGGCCTCTCTAGACGACATCCAGAAGGCACTCGCAAAGTACAACAACCCTGGAGAGCACGTTGATCCTGAGACTTTGCTCCCTCCACACTTGAAGAAGTGGTCATCTCGGTTATTTAACCGTCAGAAAGCTGATACGCTACCCCCACATCGAGACTGCGACCTGAAGATTGAATTGAAGCCTGGTTCATCTCCTCCCCATGGACCTCTATATAATATGTCTATCCCAGAGTTAGAGGTCTTACGTAAGTACCTCGACGAACAGCTGAAGAAGGGGTTTATTCGAGCAAGTAAATCCCCGGCTGCCTCCCCAGTACTTTTCGCAAAGAAGCCTGGTGGAGGACTACGCTTTTGCGTGGATTACCGAGCACTAAACGATATTACGATCAAAAACCGGTATCCGATACCCCGAATCCAAGAGACACTCCAACGACTCAGCAAAGCAAGGTACTTCACCAAAGTCGATGTCATTGCAGCATTTAACCACATACGAATTAAGGAGGGGGACGAATGGCTAACAGCTTTCAATACTCGCTACGGCCTCTTCGAATCTCTAGTCATGCCATTTGGCCTTACGAACGCTCCAGCAACCTGGCAAGCCCGGATTAACGAAGTACTCCGCCCGTTCCTGGATATCTTTTGCACTGCCTACATAGACGATATACTCATCTATTCAGACGACTTGACCTCGCATCGTAAGCAGGTCGAACAAGTGTTCGAGGCTCTCGAAAAAGCCGGCTTCCAGCTGGACATTAAGAAGTGCCAGTTCGAAGTCCAGGAAGTCACCTATCTAGGCATGATTATATCAACGGATGGAGTGAGAATGGACCCTGAGAAGACCTCGGCTATCACGAACTGGTCTAGGCCAGCTCACCTCAAAGACCTCCAGGCGTTCCTTGGCTTCTCGAACTTCTACCGGCGCTTTGTTAAGGATTTCTCGAGGTTAGTTAAACCATTGAATTTACTATCTAAGAGAGGCGTAAGGTGGGAATGGACCTCGACTTGTGATAAATCGTTTCAAGCACTTAAGCAAGCATTCACTTCTGCACCAACACTTAAGCACTTCGACCCAGAGAAGGAAGTCATTGTCGAATGTGACTCCTCCGACTACGTCTCGGCCGGCATCTTGTCCCAATACCACGATGGAGTTCTCTACCCTGTTGCCTTTATGTCAAAAGTCCTCGACCCCGCGGAATGCAATTACGAAATCTATGACAAGGAACTACTTGCCATAGTACGTTCCTTCGAGTCCTGGCGCTCCGAACTTGTGGGAACCGCGTACCCTGTGTCAGTAATCACTGATCACTCCAACTTGAAGTACTTTATGACTACTAAGCAACTGACCCGCCGTCAAGTCCGGTGGAGCGAGTTTCTCTCTGAATTCGACTTTGTTATTAAACCTGTACCTGGTAAGAAGAACACCAAGTCCGACTCACTTACTCGTCGATCCCAAGACCTCCCGAGCCGAGACGACGACCCTCGGATTATATACCAACAACAGTCACTTCTCAAACCTCAAAATTTAGACCCTGCCATTCGCTTAGCACCTCTAAACGAGGAAGAACGACCCACTGAACAAGAGGAACCAGAACCAGAACCAGACGAGCAGGGAACTGAATCCGACGACCATATCTTGACTAGGATGTTAGAGGAGGGGTACAAGGAAGACCCTTTCTGGAAGAAGACTTCTAAGGAAATGAACAGAGAAGACCGCACACCACACTCCAAAGAAGTCGCATTGTCCGAGTGTCGGATCGACGACGGCAGGCTATACTTTCGGGACAGGCTATATGTCCCAGATACAGAACTACGAGTATGGCTTCTCCAAAGAGCCCACGACTCGGTCGAGAGCGGTCACCCAGGCAAGAACAAACTATTCGAGCTCATGTGTAGACATTATTGGTGGCCGAAACTTTACCGCGATATCACCCAATTTTGTAGAGCCTGTACAAACTGTCTTCGGAACAAGTACTCCCAGCTACGATACCAGGGCACTTTAAAATCACTCCCAATACCGCTTCAAAGATGGAGAGACTTATCAGTCGACTTTATGGGCCCTATTCTGTTGGTCGATGGATTTGACCAGATTATGGTCGTTACAGATAGGCTCACTAAGGATTGCCACATTACACCATGCAACAAGGATATGAATGCAGCCGAGCTGGCTCGCTTATTCGTGCGAGACGTCTGGAAGCTTCATGGACTACCAGACACTATCGTCTCTGACCGGGGTTCCTTATTCCTCTCAGACTTTTGGAAATCCGTCTGCGAAGTACTACGGGTTCGAGTTGATCTCTCTACTGCATACCACCCAGAAACTGATGGCCAGACCGAAGTCGCTAACAAATCCATTTCCAAGTACCTACGTCAGTACATCGACTTCGCCCAGACAGATTGGGTTCAATTCCTACCCTTAGCCGAGTTTGCTATGAGAAACGTAGTCAGCTCTGCAACTGGCATATCTCCGTTCTTTGCAAACAACGGTTATCATCCTCGCATGAGTTTTGGGCCACCTCGATCACCTACGCTCACCTCTCAGAACGCTCTTGCGGGAAGAACTTTTGCTCGGAAGATGGAGGAGATCTTGGGCTACTTACGTACTAATTTGCTTACTACGAGGGACCGTATGGAGGAATCTGCGAATGCGAACCGATCACCAGCCCCAGCGTACAGAGTAGGTGACATGGTTATGTTAAGCACAAGGAATATCAAGTCAGCGAGACCTATACCGAAATTCGACGCCAAGTACATTGGCCCCTACCGAGTACTTCAAATCATGAACTCCCACTCCTATAAGCTGGAGCTTCCCTACGAATTACAGTCCATCCACCCGGTTTTCCACACTAATTTGCTACGCCCCGCCGCCGGCGTCCCGATGCCAGGGCAAGTCAACCTAGCACCTCCACCTGTGACAGTAGACGATGGAGGACATGCTCTATGGGCAGTGGAGGAGATAGTAGACTCGAGGAGGAAGGGTAGAAAATTCGAATATCTGATAAGATGGCGAGGTTATAGCCAAGAGGAGAACTCATGGGAGCCATTGGTCAATGTTATCTATAGCGTAGCCTCGATACGTACCTTCGAGACTAGATTCCCTAATAAGCCTAAACCGACAAAGAACGAACGGTTGAGAGCTTTTGCGGAACGAGAAAAGGTGTAGGAAAGAGGGACCTTATGTAACAGATTTGATTCAGTGAATTCGAGGCTTGGTGTCGGGTAGATTTCGGGAAACAAGGCACTGTAGATAGATAAGTAGCACTTCTGCTTGGAGAACTCTTCTCTCCTCGCAGACAATCTAATCATACACCCTGACATTACCCTTAAAAGAATAAATATAAAAGAATATATTATATATCTTAGCCTAAGTTTATAACTCGTTTACTCCTCTTCCTTTAATACTATATCTTTAATTTACTAGGTTCCTGTCGGTATATAATTCTGGTGAATAGCACCTTGTACGAGAGCCTGGTGGATCTATATGCTTTAGGTCATGTGAGTGGCTTGCCACTCATATACTTAAGCTTGTAGGGTACCACCTCTCTTAACCTTTACTCTTCATACACGAATGAATACAAACAGAGATTATATTTGTGTATCACCCTTTTACGACTACCAGGTCGTACCAACACTGATCAGTGTTGCGCGCACAGATCAGATACATTTGTTATATACCTCTGCCCCTTCTCGGATCGTGGTACGTTATAATACAGTGTGGTGGTATCATAACTTGAAGAGTAAAGTCCCTCTCTTGGAGTGTGGATACATACTTTACTACCGCAACAAGTATCTCGTTACGCTCGCAAGGCCTTCTCGGATCGTCCTTGCAAGATACTGGAATTGCGAAGGATAGACATCTATCAACCCCTTTACGAACCCCCTCGAGACCTTCAAGACGAAGAGATTCAGATTCCTACTAGTAACAGCGACTCGGTCGGGCTAGTACTGCTTTCTCTACGTTGCGAACCTCCCTCTTATCGAACCGACCCCCTCGATATACCTCAAGGTCTTGATCTCTTTATTGAGCTCTTCAAGAATCACCCTGCGGACAGCCTCTACCTGCTTTCGCCGGTGCTACACCCTCATCTACACCCTCATTTACACCCTCATAGTACTCAGCGGATTCAGCGGACTCAGCGGACTTACCCCTCACTTTGCAAATCCCCTTGAACTTCGGAAGAACCGGAATCTAAGACTTTCGACCCCTCACCCCTCCCGGAACAGCCGGAAGATAAGGCTTTCTTACACCCCACTTCTTACACCTTACTATCCACCGTCTTACCTTGCTTAATAACAACATGGCCGAACCAATAGAGCCACCAAGAGAGCTTAGTAAGAAGGACCTCACGAAGTTTGTTACTGAACATATCGACAAATACGAACAAATGTTAGACGACGATGAAGTACTTTGGGCCACCTTTCAAGAGGACTTTGAAAGCTGGGACGAAGACCACTTTATAACAGCAAACAAGTCCCAGGTCATTAAGCTACGCAAGGTACTTCGTCGGAGAGGTGTATGGATTGAGATGGACAGTAAAAAGGCACACATGGCTACAGCTCTTGTCAATACCCTCAAGGAGGTCGACCCAGTTGAATGGACAGAGCAAGAGATACTAGCTATTATAAAGAATGGAGACACGAATTCAACAAGGTTTGACCGTCGACACGAGACGATGTACGACCCCTCTTTTCAATACAGGGATCCTCTTCAACCTCAAAGCACTCCTCCTGCTCAACTGCCTGCTCAACTTTCTACTCAATTGCCTGCTCAACTGCCTACTCAATTGCCAACTCAAATCACCCCTCAAAGTACTACTCAAGGCATTTCACAAGCAACTCAACTGTCTTCTCAACCTCAAGGCACCTCAAACCCTCCAGACCCTGCCCCTCTTGGGACTAATACGGTACAACAACCGCAAGGCATTCAAGCGTATGGAACCCCGCCAGGAACAGCACAGCTAAATCAACGTACGAACCTTCCTACCTCGTACCAGTTCCAGCAACCCCAGACGGACACAAACCCCTTCCAGACCCAGCAGCGTAGTACTATACCCCCTTCACCTCCCCCACCACCTGTACCTCTAGTACCCCCCGCATCTCCCGTACAACCATGGCAGTCAACTCTTACCCAATTGCAAGCAAAACCAGGGTATGGACGAGAATTGACGAACTTAGCGAAGACCTACACGGACGATATGAAGTACGGAGGCACTGGCGACAACTTTGGACTCAAAAACACAACTTTTTCGAGGGAAGATTTTCTTCGAAATTCATCAATCTCTTTACACCAATCGATAGCAGCTAGAATTTCAACCACTACCCCCTCCTCCTAGGAGGTCTACTCCTCTGGTAGCAGAGATACATCCCTCAAAAGATCACGTGAAAATTTTTTCACCCCCCCGTCATAACCTCAATCAACAACCCTACCACCTAACACAACTTTTTCGAGGAAAAATTTTCTTCGAATTCCATCAATCCCGCTCAACCAAACGATAGCAGCTAGAATTTCAACCACTCCCCTCTCCTCCCAGGAGGCCTGCCCCTCTGGTGGCAGAGATATATCCGTCAAAAGATCACGTGAAAAATTTTCACCCCCTCTTTCTGACCTCTCACAACCCCTACACCACCAACGCCGCTACTATGGCGACCCAAACACAGTCAAACCCGGAATGGCAACAAGAAGTCATAGAAGGAACAGCCTACGAACCCATGCAACTCTTCAACGAGCCCACGCTCCCCATCAGCCCAATTTACCCAATTATCACCCTGGGAACTCCAATCCCCCAAACACCTAGCGCCAATGGCCAAGACTACCTCCTAGGAGGCTATGCGCCATCCAGCCCAGTTAACCACATCCAACGAAACCAAAACAACCCTAGCTTTATAGACATTAGCACGCCAAACAACTCCCAAAGAATCAGAGAAACCCAGCCTCAAGCCAAAAGACAAAGAAGCAACCAATCCTTGAACTTAACCTCAAAATACGCCCTCATGTCCCACCCAGAAACCTCCGATGACGCAATTATAGCATCTAGGTCCCTTCTGTGTAAGGCGATTGAGCTTGAAGACAACCAGCCCAAGAAACTCGCTCTCATGGACCTACTCAACCTCTTCCGGGACTATACCGAGGGAAAACCACTCAAAAACACAATTACCACCCTTACCAACTCAGTCAACAACCTAGAGAACATCGCAAGGCGCCTTCCTAAAAGAAGCTACGCATCGGTAACCACAAACAACAAACCTACCACAGACACAGACACAGACAACAGTACTCAAGGCCTCATAGACCGGCAACTCAACCACGCTCCTCCTCAAAAAACAAACATGGACAAGAAGAGAGACGCTTTTAAAAAAGCTGCTACTGAGAAAAAGAAAGCCATTAAAGCCCAGCGTCTCATTCTCATCGAAGACCACCTTCAACCATTTAGCGACTTACATCCAATTACCCTCAGAGACACTATTAACAAGGAATTCAAAGCTCGTTTTAATGTCAGCCCCGCAATTAGCACAGTCTCCAGATCACGAAACAACAACCTTGTCCTTACAGCAGCAGAAGAATACAATGCTAAATTCCTGCTTGACAGAATCGGAGCTATCCAAAAGGTACTGTGAGGGTTGGAACCCATGATGGAGGCTCGGGCCATGCCCTCGCTAAGCACTGACCAAAGTCCCCGCTCAGCATTGGCTATTGCTCCACTGCTAAATTGGTTTCTCCTTTTCTACACTTTTCTACTCTATTCTTTTGACGTCACGTATTTGTGAAACAGTTTCTTGGAAGACTCCAGAAACTCTTCCTCTCTCTATATATAGAGGAAGAGATTGCATGTATGTAGTCTTCACGCACTTCTTAATTGAATATTCGAAACCACACCTTTGAGCTATTCGAGGTCTGGCCTCTCACAACACGTCGAGGAAAATGCAGTGTACTAGATGCCAGGAAGACGGGCACCTTCTTAAATACTGTAAAAACCCTCCAAAGTGTAAATTCTGCTCCCAACAACACCAAAGCTCGCACCACAAATGTCGTCAGTGCGAAGCTCAAGGCGGAGCCTGCGTACACACTACCACCGATGCTATCACAGAATCCCAATGATAGAAAGCCCGATCAAAATCATCTCTTTCAATGCCAACACTACATCAGAAGCCATGGAAAACGCGCTAGAAATAGCTGTCCAAGTCAAAGCAGACATTGTACTCTTCCAAGAACCATGGTTTCACAACGCACGAAACAGACAAAGTTACACAGCTGTCACCTCAACAGCACATGGCAGTTTTACGCAAATTCTTCCAAACCACTTGCCCAGCAAAAGGCTTCGAACAATTACCTATATCGCAAAAACCTTCAAACTCTCAGTCAGCCTCTCAAGAGAGTCACCTATCGACACTGATATCCAGCTCATTGATATTACTGAAGGAGAAGAAACACTACAAGTAATCAACATCTATA